TAGACGGCCTGGCTTTGAATCAGGATTCTGCTTCATCAGCCTTGTGTAAATGTGAGCAAATTGCTCAAACTCTGTACTCCAGTTTTGTCATCTGTATAATGGGATAATAAAGGCATTAAACTCACAGAGTTGAGTGAAATTCAGAGATAACACGTGGAAAGCATCTAGAACAGTGCCTGGCACATACAGCAAGTGCTCAACAGCTGTGAGCTGTTATTACCGTCTCTGTTGGAGGATGGGAGTACAGGAATGAATGAGTCACAGACTGTAATCAGCTGCAGTCAAGCAGGAAGACAGATGGAGACATCATTGAAATAGGGAGCCACGGGGAGGGCAGGCAGGAGGCGGAGTAGCACAGAGGCGGGGTGACTAATGATGAATTAGGGCCACTCCTGTGGTCCTAGATCTTTGGTCTTTCAGGCTCTGGTTTGCTGTGGCAGGATTTTCTTCCCTTTCCCTCAAGGGTTCAGGCGTACACAAGAATGATTAAATCTGGTTGTGGAGTTTCAGGATTGTGTTTTTCCTGACAGTTGGGTCAAAATTAAACACTTGAAAGGACAGAGCAGAGAGTAGAAAAAGTTTTTTATTTGGGCTTCTTGAATATTTAACGGTAGTTAAGTCCTGAGGCAAATATAATAGCAACTTGATCAGGAGATAAAAAGTCATGAAAGAAGACAGCATGAGGTGTGTTCCTACCCAGGATGGGTGCTTTCTCATATTCTAATTACACTGAGCCTTAGGAATGTGTCGGAGATTAGCTACTGCTGCACATGAGCTGTAAGATTTATAAGTAAATGTATTTGGGTACGTGCATCATATATAAAAGTTGAGAGGAGATGGGAGCAGAGAGAGGGAAAAAAAGAGGGAGAGAGAGAGAGATTGAATTTGAAACAGAAAACCAGGTTTCCAAATCTGAAGGGGCAGAAGGGAGCACAAAACACGTGGAGGAACTGTTTGATGTACATGTCTTAGTTCCCAGCACAGTGTCTGGTCCGTAATAGGCATTCAGCAAATAATTGCTCAATAGACAGTGTTTATTCTAGTTGGTACATTGAAGATAACCTCTAATAACCTTTAGATTCTGAACTTAGGTAACCCCTCTGAGAATTTATCAGATAAACAAGTAATAAGTGAGACCAACGTCATAAGGTGTTAACTCGGAGCCGTCATCTATCCTTGTGGAGAATAACCCAGAGGACTTGGATTAGGACCTGATAGTCTACCTTGGCGGCACGTGAGAATCACCTGGGGAGCTTGTGAAACATGAGGCTGCCAGGCTGGACCTCACTCCAGACCAATCGAATCAGAATCTTTGGGGTGGGGCCTGGGTGTTGGTAATTATCCTTTGAAACACTCCCCAGGTGATTCTAATGGAATCTAGGAGGGAGAATCACTGGGGTAAGGCATTTGTAGATGGGGAGATTGGTGGCATCTGACAGAAGACTTGACGTGTACTTAGCCAGAGATAAACCTCAGGTCTGGCCAGAATGTGGAAATGTGTCAGTCATCTTTTCAGATTTCCAAGGTCATGTGAGCTTGGACTGAAGATAGCCCAGCACAGGGCCAGCGATGGCAGCTGGAAGGGTGGCTGCCTGGGAAGGAGGTAAGCCTTAATAACCGAAATAGATGCTGCGCTTTCATCTACCTAATTGCTATGATTTGGAAGTTTCCCATAGCCTGAAACTAGGTACCCACAGAAGGGTGTGAGAGAAGGGGAGGGTACTGAGGGATCCTGGGGTCCCTAGGCCTTATCTCATGGAAGGTGCTGGGCTGGGTCAGCAGGACTCAATTGCCTGCTGTAGAGTCCTCAGTGCTCTCCAGAGATCTGATCTGGCTCCCCACAGAGGCACTGACTGCACTGCACCCTGAGATCTCACTGCCAGTCTACAGAAGGACCATTAAGATAATCAAAGAGTCTCTGGGGAGTTTGTGGAGTGTGACTGTGGCCACGGGAGCATATTTTATTTTGCCTTGAACCAAACTGCTGAGGAAGAATTCTCTTACATTTTCAACAGGAAGAGGGTATCAGTCAGCCAAATAGCTCTGAGCACACTTCTAGTTAGCTCACAGCATCCCAGAAAAATAGACCTGAAGTTTCTATAAGCAGCCTGTCTCCTTCGAGACCAAAGCTGTCTCTCAGTGAAGGATGTTGTTGGGCCCCATAGTAAATTTGGGGAGACCAGGGAAAATCCAGGCTCAGGAGAGGCAAATTTTCATTGTACTTGAATCAGGAGAATCTGATGATCAACATCAACCCTTCTTTAAAATGCATTTAAACCAACATTTAAACATGCTTCCTGCCACCTGCCCTCTTTCTATAGAATTTTTTCCTTTACTCTGCCCCCATCCCCCACCCCCACTCTCTTTCCTTCTGACAACTCAATTTCAACCACATGCACCTGATAGAATCTCACACACAGGCACATTTATTATTGACCAGCTTCTTTATCTTGGATAGTATGTCATGAGTAGTCAAGACTATAGCTCTTGAAGGTAGTTTCATAGATTTAAGATGAAGAAACAGTATCCATATAGTTCCAGAGTCAAGGAAGCCTGATAGTCAGTGAAAAAACACAAGACTGTTGGAGAGTGGAATTTTACTCACGGGAGCTGGCTTGGACTTTAGATATGAAACATTTGATTTATAGTTTCTATTTCTCTCTGATAGAAAACTCTGCTAACCCTTATTGGAAGGTCGAATGTGTTGGGTTCTTTAGCTAAGGTAGCTGTTAAAATTTATTTCACATTCAAGGAAAGGGGCTCTTGTTATTCACCATGTTCCCATTTTAATTATGATTTTCCTGGCATCATTTTTAACAAGAATAACCTAAGGCCTGCAAGGAGTGATTTCCCCTAATCACTTCTTAAACCTTCCCTCCCCACCCCCAACTAACTGCTATAGCTACAGCTACACAGATGAAATGAAATGGAGACTTGAGCAATTACCTGGTGGATCTGAACAGTGTGGAGTCAGCAGTCAATTAGAATAGTTCAATTATGAAAATCCTTTTTTCTCCCTTCTTCTTTTCCTCTGTAGAATTATCACCTTAACTCTTGCTCATCCACCCACCCTGGGTTGAGGCCTCCTTTCTCATCCTTCTGCTTCTGTTGGCCCCAGACCCCTCTCTAGTGGATGGCCCTGGCTCCTCTGCCGGCCTAGCCCTCATCTTCATTCCTTTTCAGGGAGAGGCCGCGGATTCCTCCTCTCCCTATTGGATGGGCTTAAGATGGGGAACCTTGTGTTATGCTGATCCCTGAACTCTCACATCATTTCCCAGGTGTCAGTGTACCTTCAGAAAGCCTGTGCCTGAGGTCCTGAGCCACATCCCCTTGGCCTTCCATGTTGCTATTCTGAGATTCTCTTTGCACACCCCATTGGCTACCCAGATCCATTCACCTATGGGACCACTACTTATTCTTGCCAGCTTCCCTCACCACGAAGTGAGTCTGACCCTAGTCCAGTATGATGAGAGCACCTGCCCCCAGACACAGAAGTCACAGATATGGGTGCCAGTAGGCCTTCTGAGTATGGCTGTACCTCCTGCCAATGGGGACTCCAAGGACTTCCTCTTCACCATAGTGGCAAACACTTGTCTGAATGTTGATTACAGATAGATAGCCAGTCCCATATTTGGATGATTCTCATTGTCAGCCAAAATCAAGGTATTCACAGGGTTCCTTCCTTCTGAGGTCTGTGAGGAAGAATCTGTTTCAGATTGGAACACTACCTTTCACCATTTATAAAAATTCACTCAAGATGGATTAAAGATTTAAATGTAAGACCTCAAACTATAATAATCCTAGAAGAAAACCTAGGAAATACCATTCTGGACATTAGTCTTAGGAAAGAATTTATGACTAAGTCTTCAACAGTGATTGCAACAAAAACAATTGACAAATGCAGACTAGTTAAACTAAAGAGCTGCATAGCAAAATAAATTATCAACAGAGTAAACAGACAACCTATAGAAAGGGAGAAAATACTTGGAAACTATGCATCTGACAAAGGTCTAATATCCAGAATCTATAAGGAACTTAATGCAACAAGCAAAAAACAACCCCATTAAAAAGTGGGCAAAAGACATGAACAGACATGTCTCAAAAGAAGACATACAAGTGGCCAACAAACTTAAAAAAATGCTCAGCATCACTAATCATTAGGGAAGCGCAAATCAAAACCACAATGAGACACCATCTCACATCAGTCAGATGGCTAGTATTAAAAAGTAAAAACAAAACAAAACAAAACAAACAGATGCTGACAAGGCTCTGGAGAAAAGGGAATGCTTATATACTGTTGATGGAAATATAAATTAGAGCTAACCACCATGGAAATCAGTTTGGAGATTACTCAAAGGACTTAAAATAGAACTACCATTCAGTCCAGAAATCCCATTGCTGGGTATATAACCCAAAGAAAATAAATTGTTCTACCAAAAAGACACATGTGCATATGATATAGAACATATGATGTACCTATGTTCTACCAAAAACAACATATGTTAATCACAGCACTATTCACAAGAGCAAAGACATGGAATCAACCTAGATGCCTATCAGTGGGGGATTGGCTAAAGAAAATGTGGTACATATACCCCACAGAATACTATGCAGCCATAAAAAAGTAAAATCCTGTTCTTTGCAGCAACATGGATGCAGCTGGAGACCATTATCCTAAGCAAATTAATGAAGGAACAGAAAACCAAGTACGGCATGTTCTCATTAATAAGTGGGAGCTAAACAATGGGTGCATATGGACATAAAGATGGCAACAGACACTGGGGACTACTAGAGGGAGGGAGGAGGGAGGAGCAGGACAAGGACAAGGGTTCAAAAACTGCCTATTGGTTATCCTCGGTGTCACACAGTATATGCATGTAACAAACCTGTACACGTACTCCCTGAATCTAAGAAGTTGAAATTATATATATAAAATGAAAGCATAGAATAAATTAATAATATAATCCACTGTATAAAAAAAAGATAAAAATCTGTTTCAGGTTCCTCTCCTGGGCTTGTTGATGACCATCTTCTCCCCGTGTCTCTTCACATCAGCTGCCCTCTATGCATTTCTTTGTCTGTGTCTAAATTCCCACTTTTGTATAAGGACACCAGTCATATCGGATTAGGAGCCCAGCCTACTTCTGACCTTAACTTACTGAATTACATCTGTACTGATCCTATTTCCAAATAAAGCCACATTCTGAGGTACTGGGGGTTGTATCATTTTTGGGGGACACACATTGTTCAACCCATAACAGTATGCATTATTTGATGGGGCAGTAATGATAGAGATGTATATGTACAGTGCAGACCTAGTAAAGGGAATAGACACTTCTTTTTTTTTCAGGGCAGACACATCCTCAAGAAAGCTAATATGAAGTCATAACTATGTCTCAGGAACTATTCATGTTTATTGATCACTTATTATGTGCTAAACACCATTTAGTAATTTAATGTGTCAACACAATCCTATGAAGAAGCTAAGCCACAGAGAGGTAAAGTAAACAGTCCCAATGCACATAGGAAGGGGCAGAGGGGCAGATCAGGTGTATTTTGTAGGAACCGAATTACACTGTCTTCCCCTACCTCCCTGAAACACCAGGCTCTCCCCATTGAGGATCTGTCCATAGGTTAAGAACGTGGCACTGACAGGGACCAGCTTACATGGATGATTAGGCGTGAAAGCGGTCTGAGTTAGGCAAAGCAGAAGCCTCATTGTGCCAAACTTCCTAATCCCCATGGTCAGAACCTGTGTCCCCAGGCACCCTTAAAATAGGCACTTCTCACTCTATTTCAGGTGCTGTTTGTTGCCTTCCTGGTATCTTTCAAACGCAGTTATCATATTCATTTGCTTACCACTAGAGTGTAAGCCCCATGAAGGCAGGGACCTGTGTTGTCTTTTTTAGTGCTGCATTGCCAGTGCCTAGCAATGGCCCAGAGAGGCATTTGAGAAAGACTTCTGGTAAATTGGATTGTGCTGTATATAAAGCAGATTTTTCTGGGGTCTTCTCAGAAATTAGATTTCATTAAAAAAAAATAAGCCCTAGGTGAAAAATGCCTCTAGGAACTTGTACATTAAATAACTGAGTACAAATGAGGCACTTAAAGCATCACAGCTGGTCTCTAGCACAGGTATGGAGGCCACTGAAGACGTGGCTCTCTGTACCAAAGTCATATACTAAATTCATTGATAATTATCCTAAGTGGAGCAAATAACCCTCATACATCTCTTGCAGCATAGCTATAGGTTTTATTTTCACTTAAAGTATTGACTTTCTACCCAGGGAGCCATCACCTTTTTTTTTTTTTTTTTTTTTTTTTTTGGTAACAGTGGCCTGCTCGCATTGCTTTGTGGAAACAGGCCACGTATTCAAGGCGAACTTGACTGTACAGAGCTCACAGTGGGGTGGGTACTTCACGGATACTCTCTGAGTGGTATAGCAAAGGTGGTAAGAGCAAAGCAGGTTGGGAGTTGGAAGGCCTATGTGCTTGCCTTGGCCCACAGGCAGCTCATAATTTATGTTGAGATTGGGTATCCCATTTGTAAGAAGGAGTAAATGATTTCTGCCCTGTTTGCCTCACCTACTATTGCAAGGTTCAATTAAGTTAATGCACAGAGAAGTGCTTCGGACCCAGAATTTACACATGTAAAGAGTAATTACCCTGGAGCAACATGGCAGGAACAGGAGTGCTGGTATCTGATAGACCTGAGCTTAAATTCCAATTCTACTTGCCTTGCTGTGACTTTAGTTATCTATAAATCTCTTTGATTTTTTTGTCATTTGTTTTATCATCTGTAAAATGGGGAGAATAATACCAGCCTTGCATGATTATGAGAGTCAAAGGGAATAATATTTGGAAAGTTCTTGGCACATAGTAGGTGCAGTGGTAACTTTTTTGCCGCTAATTTTAGTTGTCACTTAATCAGAGGGTGCCATCGTATTAGTTTTCTGTTATTGCCATAAACTATCACACACTTAGCCACTTAAAACAATACAAATTTATCATCATGTATTTATAGGTCAGAAGTCCAGTGGGCTTGGCTGGTTTCTCTGGCCAGGTCTCACAAAGTTGAAATCAAGGTGTTGGCAGGTCCAGGGGATTATCTACTTTCAGACTTATTCAAGGCATTGGTAGAGTGGAGTTCCATGTGATTGTAGAATTGAGGTCTACCAGCTGGTGGCTGGTGATTGTTTTCTGTTTATAGAGACCACCCACACTGCTTGGCTTGTGGTCTCTTCACCCTTCTTCAAAGCCAGCAATGGTGGGTCTTGTCTTCATTATTGGAATGTCTCCTTTGTTTCCCTCTTCTGCTGCAGCTGACTCTTCGTCTCCTCTACCCCTTTACGGGCCCCATGATTACGTTGTGTTCATGTGGATAATCCAGGGCTCTATTTTAAGTTTTCTAACCTGAACTTCATCTGCAAAGCCACGTAACCATATCGTGCCAAGGTAACACCTTCACAAGTTCCAGGGGATAAGAATGTGAACATCTTTGGCTGGGGGTGGGGTGGAGTGGGATGATTTTTTCTACCACAACCATATGTTGATAACTGATGTTCTCATATTATTAACAATGTCTCTTCAACAAGAACTAAAGTTCCAAGTACTTAGCTCAATGCCTGGCATAGAGTAAGTGCTTGATCAATATTAGTTTCTATTTTTGTTATTGGTAAGCAGATGACAATAAGTATCTTGGTTTTTTCACAGGTTCTAGCAAATTCACCTGGCTAAGGGATGCCTCTTCCTTTACTACTCACTGTCAGCTCTCTCCAGAAAGTCTTTCTGACCCCAGCCCTTGCCCACCAGGCTGGATTCAGTGCCAGTCCTCTGTGTTACAGCATCATAGAACTTTCCTTGTTCAGCTGTCCATTTCCCTATCACTCTTCCACCAGATTGCACTTTTTGAGTACAGAAACTGACATTTCTGTATCATTTAGTAGAGTGTCTGGTACATAGTACATGCTCAAGAAATGCTTATTGAATAACTTAATGATGGGAACATTTATTATACTTAAAATTTTTGATCAAATAATTACTGGTTGGAATGTATCCCTTAAACGATACAAATATTGAGATACTCAGTGAGAGGAAAATCTGTGCATATCAGTACTGCGATTCCTGACAATTGTCTTTACACAGAAGGCTTCTTGAAAAATAAATAAACATTGTGTTTGTGAATTGTCCAGGCCTGGATCTTGAGGAAGGCACTTCTTAAACAGCTGCAACTCCCGGTAAGTATTGTACTTGGAATTCACTGAATGATTTTGACACTTTTTTTCTCTGAATGCGTTAGGGAACAAACAAAGAGAGTATTGAAATAAAGCCACATCATCTTGGCTTACCTCTCATTTGCTTCCTTATTGGAGCTTATTATATCTAACAGCAAAACTGAACCCTAGTGTTATTTCTCTTGCAAATTCACAAGGAGCTCTTCCTTCTGGTTTTTTTTCCTCACACACTGAATGCTCATTTTCTGTCCATTTTGTGAAGTGTCTTAACGATACTGCAAGTCGTTAGTGACAAATAACAATCAAATAAGAGCAATTTTCATAGGGTCATTCATATTGCCATGTGTGTTTTCCATATTTTAGAAGTTTCTCAATTTTGGTTTGTCAGCCTGCCCATGTGATTCCAGATCAGCCAAGGAGGCCAGGCTCCTCTTGCTTGGGCCAGGATCCCTTAACAGTTGCTTTGAGCTTGGCTGGTCTTTTTGCAATAATTGTTCCCACTCAGGGACTTTGATCTTTTGATATTTATTTTTAGATTCAATATAGTCACCATTATTTTAAAGGAACAGTTTTATTATCTGAACCAAACAACCACAAATGAAAAATTGGAGCCTAATCACAGGCCTCAGGACCCAGATGAGGAATAAAGAAAAATTGTTTATAGTCATAAATGCTTTCTTTGCAGTTTTCCTTCTGTCTATTGGGCTGGGGCACATTTTCTACTATCACAGAATGGTGATTAGACATCAGATTATATCTTGATATTATAATGGTACTGCCCTCTACTGGAAATCTGGGAATCCTAATTTCCTTTGGATTCAGTGCTCCATTTTGAAATCACAGTCCAGCTCAGGTAGCAGGCTCACGTATAACATTGAACGGTTGCAGTGAAGTCATTTCTCAATGGTTCCTCTGGTTGAACATTCTTGCACAATTATTTAAAACTCAGCAAACATTTGTCAAACACCTATGATGTGCCAGACATTGTGCAAGGAACTCGATAGATGCAGAGATGTCTAAAACAAGGTTTGTGATTTCAAGAAACTTATGACCTGGTACAGGAGACAGACTTTTATACAAATAAATAGAAAGGAATCTGACTTCATGGAGTTCTGCAATTCCAAGGAATTTTAAGTGCTATATGGGCAGAGGCATGGCCAAGGAGAATTAGGACTTTACTACTGGACCAGTCATTAGCTCAGTGCCTGGCGTATGGTAGACACTGCATATGTGGGGTATGCATGATTTGGAGAAGGTGATATAATTAGAATGGAGGGGTCTGGAAGGGTTGTACAGAAAGGGATGCAGCCGGAGCCTCATTGACATCTTCCTCTCCTGCTCATACTCTGAGCAATCCTAGAACCACAGTAGGTGACTTTACTTGCAGCACAGTAGGAGAGCAGAGTAATCAGGAGTGATACACTGACAGAGCATCCAGCAAGGCCTCTTTCATTAATAAACACTTAATAAACACAACAGACGGTTGTGCCATACATAGGAGTACTATTTGAGCCTGAATATGCCTATAGGGCGGCCCACCTTCCTTGGACAGTGGGTGCTAAAGAGCCATTTATACAAGTAATGCCACTCTCTCGCCTGTCCTAGAGTTCTTGCTCCATTGTAACCTCTCTTGAGGAATTCACTCCTCCACTGAGTCTCTGAACAAAGAAAAGCTTTATCTATCATTGAGCAAGGTCTAGAGTGGGGTTTATGGGCCTTCCTTGACCTGGGCCCTGACTACTATCTCTGTCTCCTCTCCCAGAACTCTTCCACCTTCCTCCAACTGATCCAACCTGTTATTAGTTTCTTCTCACACTTCCATGCCTTTGCACTGCCTTTCCCTCTAATTGGAATGGTCTAGTTTTTAATCTAAAGTTTCTACTTATTCTTTAAAATTTAGCTCAAAGGCCACTTTTTTTTGGAAAGCATTTATTTGCTTTTTTAGACTATAAAAACATCTTCTGAATCTCCATAACACTACGTCATATGTCTGTCCTACTGCTTACTGCAATTCTCCAAGTATATGGTTATATGTCTGTTTCCATAGAGGTCAAATACTGTGTCCTATTAGTCATTTTAGCCCCAGGGGATTAGCGTATTATCTGGAACATAGCTAATATTTAGTGAATACTTTTCTAATAAAGTGGATTTGGTGAAAACCTCTACGTTAAGAAAGGTCTAGTGAAATATTTTTCATCTTTTATTTGTAAGTATCTATAAGGTAAGATAGGCCCATTGTCCTCAATCTGCATTAATAGAGCTCAATAACTGTCAAAGGAAGAATGCTTCCCAGAGACCAGGAGAGAGAAAAGGCCAAGTGGGCAAAGTCACGGCCCTCTTTAACAGACAGGGAGGACAGAAAGGGTGGGAACACTTGTTCAGAGCTGTTCCTGTGAAATGTCCCACAAAAAGGAATCTGTGCTAGAATTATTTTGGGAAATGCGATTTACTCTTTTCTATTCATTCATTATTTACTCATCCTATTATTTAACAGGTATATTTTAAATGTCTACTATTTGCCATACATTGTTCTCAACACTGAAAGATGGCAGTGAACAGCATAGGTCATTGTTCTTGCCCTCCTGGAGCTTACATTCTACTGTGAGACACAGGCCATAAACAAAGTAAGAACTTGAACTGGGCAGTGTTTTACAGAGGGGCATTAAGTGCCATGGAGGAAAGAAGTCAGAAAGTTTTTATTGGAAGTGCTGGGGAGTGGAGTATGGGAATTTTGAATAAGAGGTCAAGGAAGTTCTCACCAAAAGGTTGCATTTGAGTAAAGACCTGAAAGAAGAGAAGGAGTGAGGTGGGTGGATCTCTGACTAAAGAGAAATCAGGAAAGAAGGAGCTGTGAATATTCCATGTTTAGAGGAACAGCACGAGGCCCAGTGTATTTTCAGCCCAGGAAGGGAGGGAGGTGAAGATGGGAGACGTAGGTGGAGAAGTCATAGAAGAGCAATCATTTGGGGTTGTAGGTATGAACTCTGGATTTCATCTGAGTAAAAAGGGGAAGCCATTGCAGGGTTTTGAAGAGAGGGGTGATATTGCCTGTTGTGGTAGGTGTTTCTCCTAACGCTATCCCTCCCCTAGCCCCCCACCCCCCAACAGGCCCCCTGGTGTATGATGTTCCCCTCCCTGTGTCCATGTGTTCTCATTGTTCAACTCCCACTTATGAGTGAGAACATGCGATTTTTGGTTTTCTGTTCACAGATGGATTTTAAGAGAAGTAACAGGATTTACATATTTTGGTGGCAGTATGGAAAGTGGCTTGGAGAGGGGAGTCCGATGGAATAAGACAAGAGAATAGCTGATTGCAATAGCCTCAGTGACAGATGATGAAGCCCTGAACATAGCAACTAGGAATGGAGGGAAGAATCAAATTAAATGGGTATTTAGGAAGTTTAGAATCAATAAGATTTGATGACCAATTAGATATAGTGGATGATGAAAAATATTCAGTGATAATCCTGAGAGTTCTGTCTTGGGTCAGATTGTCTATAATTACCTGTATCCCTTAGAGAGATCTATCAGTGCAAGCTACAAGGCAACATTCCATGTAATTAGCTTTTATTTTTAACACTGTTCAAGATATATTTTAACGGAGAAAAGTGAATTGATTTAATGCCCAATGTTGCCTTCTATTTTTGTCGTTCATAAAGCCATATTAGTTTTTTTATTAATACAAAAATACTTTAAAATGGTATTTACTTGAGTAAGCACGACGAATTGTTTGAATGTGCAGAGGATTACGATGTTATTTTTTAAACACTAATAGTCATATTTTGGGATTGGTGTATTCTAATCTTTTATATACAGAGTACAGAATTAAAAAGAAAACAGATTATACTGACTAGAAAAGTGTTCCTAGCAGGTGGTTTGAGGACCTTGTATAGATTGGGCCTTGTTCTCCAACATTGGGAAAAGGTGGGAGAAATTTCCAATATTGCTTATTTGGATTTTTGTATGTTTAGAATGGGACTAAGAAATGCTGGAATTTCTCTGAATAGTCCCAGGACTCTGAAAAGTAAGTATATTTCTTTAATGTGGCTGTGGTATGTGCACACCCGTTTGCCTTTTAAAGTAGCCTCTTGCCGGCATTAATGGCATCTCCTGAATATCTTGGGTTTGAAACTGTGAATTGAGAAGCAGAATCAAATTGTTTAGGGTCGTATGAATGCCACATCTTACAAAGCACAGAGGAAAGACCTTCAGTTTGACATTTAGATAATCAATGCTTTTTTGGTAGTAACATTGGTTCTATTCACATTTTTTTTCTTGTTTTCTTTCCTCTAGGCACATTGTAGGGTTGAACTTCCCTGTTTGCATTACATAAGATGGGTCATCTGACTGGCTGTGGCCAGTGAAATGTAGATGAAAATAGCCTGTATCACCTCTGGACGAGTCATTAGGATCCAGTGTATGATTTGCTACATTTCGTTCTGTCTGCCGTGGTGATTGGTGATGGAGGCTCTATTAGTTTTTGTTCCTGAGTAAAGTGATGTAGGGATGAGTCCCTAGCTGACTTCCAATATGAGTGAGAAACAAACCTTTATTGTTTTAAGCCTCCAAGCTTCGAAGTTTATTATACAGCCCACCATGACAAATATACTATTAGTCCTTTATTTACATGCTTTAAAATATGGCTTGCATTTTCTGATTACCATATGTTCATTGTGGAGAATTTCAAAAAATATTAAAAAAATCCCTTGAAATCACTTATATAGAAATAGTCTCTGTTAATATTTTGATGTATTGTCTCCCTCTCTCAATTTAAAAAATTGAGATCCTAATATATATATACAATATTGATTTCTTCACTTCATATGTACTCTTAAAATACATGAATTTGCTACATATTATTAATTGATGAGGATGTGTTATAATCTATTTTTATTTTATATGTTTTATATTTATACTATTTAATTTATGAGTCATATTTTATTTTTGTACTTTTTCTTGTTGTAAATAATATCCCAATGAAACCTTTGCGCCTAAGTCTTTGCTGAAATTGCTATTGCTGTCCTTGGGGTAGATCCCTAGAAGGGGAACGACTAGGTCAAGGAGTATGCATACTTTTAAGATTTTTGCTACCTATTGCCAGGAGAAAGGTTGTCCCAATTAACATGTTGGCTGTGTGACATGGGCCATCTCACCATTCTGTGGGGTATTAGAATTCCTTTTAATCTTTGTTAATTTGATAGGTGAAAATGCTATCTTGTTGTTTTATATTTGCATTTCTTTGATTACAAGTGTTGTTGAACATTTATTTCATATGTTTATGAGTCATTTGCACTTTTTTCTTGTGGGAATTATCTAAATGGATTCTCACACCCCCCAAACACCAAGCTAATAAACGGAAAGCCACACAGGAAGCTGGCAGTACTGTTGCCACGGAGCCTCTGCACGAGCTTCTGAAGTGTGAGCATTGAACAGGTTCCTCTAACTCCTTCTCGTCTGCATTGTTTTGATTCTTTTCTCTCCAGCTGTATCCCTCCACAGCCCATGTCTCCCTCAAGCCTTGGACTCCCTCCAAGCATTTTATTGCACTGGACTGTAGTCGTGGCTCAACCTAGAATTTAGAGAGAAAAGGACAAATGTGATCGAAGTCAGTTTGGAGTGAACAGCATTGTTGTGGAAAAATCCATTGAGTGCCTCCCTTACGAAGCCCCTCCCTACCAACTGATGGGTCCCTGTGGCAAAGAGGCGGTGGGCATATCCCCTGCTTGAAGTCAGGATTGGGAGCACAGCCTGCTCCTCTGGCTTTAGGCCTGACTCTGTGGTCCCTGGTGATGAAGCTTCAATTACTCTTCCCGGAAGCGTTCTTATTTATTTCATAGACCTTGCATTACCCCTGACTGTCTGTTTGGTGCTTTTAAGAGAGGAGAAGAAAGAATCTAAATTTCCCCAAAGTAAGTGTTACTTTTTAGCTAGTGTGAGATAAAAGACAGATTGAAATGGAGCCAGAGGGACCTGCCCTTCACCCTCCATCTTCCTCGGAGTTGGAAGCTCACATTGGTGTGTCAGGCAGCAGCTGGCAGGCTCTTTTATCATCATTAATTGTCCGCTGAGTTGTCACAAGGAGAGACTAGAATTCAGGTTTAATTACATCTGTATCATCTCTGATAAAGTTCAGGGGATTCTGGTGGTGCGAAGCAGGAGTGGGCCAGTGATGTGCCAGGGATACTCTGTGAAGTGGAAACCATGTGTATCCTTGAGGGGAAAAGGTGAATTAACCGAATTCCAAGGGAAGTAAGCCTTATCCAGGCTGGGCAACTCTCATGAGATATGGTGATGGGGAAGGGAGGCTGCTCCAGGCATTAGAGCTGCTTAAGGATAAATTAGTTTAAATGAGGCAGGTGTCATGGCTCTTCACAGCAAACAAGTCAAGATTTGTTCCAGAAACCTTGCTTGTTTTTATGGACAACAATCTACTACCAGAGTGGGAGCAAAGAAATACATTTGGTCTTAGATAAAATAATGGCACTCCCCCTGCCCCCATCTCCTTTATGAGATGGATCTTTTTGAATGGTTTCTGATTTAGTTCTGGAAATACTGGAGCAGAGTGAGGCTTAAGTGACAAGCTGGCTTTGACTAAAAACGAGAACTAAGTATAGCTTCATGGAAATGGCAGGTGGCAGGTGGCCTGGGAGCTAGGTGCATCAGCAGATCATTTTTTCATGAAAATAAGTCAGTGAGTGCTAAGAGTCTTCACCACACTTATGGCAATGACCCTTCTGCCAAACTTAGCCACACAAGGTCTCATTCTGATCTTTTATCAATTCTTGGGGACCACCGCATCTGCTCTGATCCTTTCGTTATTGACCAACACCTGGACTTTGCACTTCAGAACAAAGCTTTGGCCACATGGTCGGTTCTTGTCATCAGGGAATGGATCTTGTTCTGACCACCAGACTTTATAACTCTCACTTCCTGAGAGAAAATCTGAAGCCATTTCATGAACTATCTCTTGTGCAATTAAGTGTTTTCAAAGAATCGGCCTTCTGCTTTGCAGAAGAGCATGTCTTCTGTGTTCCTCCTATATCTCAGGAAGAGCTGTTTATTTTAATCCGTGGGCCCTCTTTCAGCATTAAAAAATACATATTAAAAAAAAACAAGATCAGGTGAATGGAATCTAAAAAATCTAAAAAATAATACGTATGTGTGTATGTGTCTCTGTGTGTTGTATGCACAATAAAAGGGTTTTGCATACACTCTAATTTTCCAGTAAGAGAAAAATTCTTCCCAGTCTAAAGGTCAGAATCTTTAGTTTTGAGCCTCTCATTAAATCTACAAAACTAATTTTTGCTTTGATTTTTATCACCAGAAGCACAACTCACAGGGGTAAGTTTGGAAAAACAAGTAAATCAAATTCAGAGCTCTCAGAATTTAAAAGCTAGGTTGACTCAGAATAGATACATAACAATATTAAAACAGAATGCAAGAAGATTGGTATACCAAAACTTACCTGTGATCATAAATTTCCTGAAGCTAGCGGTTCTATATCTATTTTATTTTATTAATTAATTTATTTTTTTGAGATGCAGTTTCGTTCTTGTTGTCTAGGTTGGAGTGCAATGGCGTGATCTCTGCTCATTGCAACCTCTGCCTCCTGGGTTTAAGTGATTCTCCTGCCTCAGCCTCCTGAGTAGCTGGGATTACAGGTGCCTGCCACCATGCCAGGCTAATTTTTGTATTTTTAGTGGGGACAGGGTTTTGCCATATTGGCAGGCTGGTCTCGGACTCCTGACCTCAGGTGATCTGCCCGCCTCGACCTCCCAAAGTGCTGGGATTACAGGCATGAACCACCGTACCTGGCCTCAGAGGTTCTATATCTATACTTCTATCCAGCAATATTAGGCACAGGGTAGATGCTCAGTAAATAGGTACTTAATGTGGAAACTATTTATGGATTGTGTTAAACAGCTTTCATAGTTACCATATGCTCTGGTGGGCTAGTCATGTTAACTAAAATGTGACTAGAGGTAGAAAGAGGTGCTCTGTGCCAAAATATTGAGCTCATGCCAGTTTATGGGCCCATCAGAGCTGCCCCTATGAACAACTGAGGCCCTTGCCCCAGGCCCAGGGCTGGTCCTCCATGCTGCAGACACTGGTAGCTGGTTGTAACTCAAGCAGGCCTCCGATCAAGAAGAAGGATGTCTATCCATATATAACCATGGAGTGGAGTCAGATAAGAGCTGTATTTTGTCTCCAACTACCTTTCTATCTCTGTAGAACTAATTTTTCCTCTTTCTCCAAATGAAACACAGACATGCCCTATGACTTTTCTGTCCACCCCAGAGGAGCACACACATCAGTCACTTCAAGCCACACAGAATAGTCTCCCATCACATGAAGTCACACAACGCAGTCTTAGCACGGTAATTAGTACGTCTTGTCCCATGTTATAGTTGAAACTCTAGAGTAACAAATTCTTTCTTTCTCTCAGTTCAGGCTTATTCCAGGTAGGAGGCCACAGTCCAGAAAAGAGAGTGCAGTCAGCCTCTCCTCTCTCCTCACCCAGCACTTCTAACCCTACTTCCACATGCCACCAATGCCATGCTCCACAGTCCACTGACTTCTACATCCCACTAACTCTTGGGTTCTAACTGGTTAACTGGTTAGCTCAGAGTAGTCTCAGTTGCTTCTGCCTGGGTCTAGTTATTAATAGTTCCCCTTTGGGTCAGTGAGTGTTCTCCTTAAAGTCAACTGATTGTAAGTGTTAATCACATGAACAAAATGCATTCACAGTAACATCTAGTGTTGGACACACAGCTGGGCACCAGAACCTGGCCAAGTTGACACATGAAAAGAACCATCACACCATTTCCCTTTCAGAAGACTTTCTGTATGTAAACTATGTGCCACCCTAGTTAGTTCTGACCCCTCCCAAGTGGGTGCAGGGAGGGAGAGAAGATGAGGAGAGCAGGAAATGTCTCCCTTAAAGGATACCTCAAGATACACAGAATTGACACTCTTGGGACTTGGCAGATGCTTAAACCTGACTCTTGCTCTGAAGGGCATTTTTGGGGGATTCTCTGGAGATTTTACACCTCCTTCTCTGACACTGGTGATCTCTGTTTTTGGCTCTCGACAGGGCAAAAACATCTTTATTCTCATAGCCCAGAGACTCACCCTCAGTGTCATGAATTCTCTTTCACTCTGCCATCAAACTGGCCAGTAAGCCCATGTCTTGCTGATATGGTTTGGCTCTGTGTCCCCACTCAAATCTCACCTTGAATTGTAATAATCCCCACATGTCAAGGGTGGGGCCAAATGGAGATAATTGAATCATGGGGGCAGTTTCCCACCTACTGTTCTCATGGTAGTGAATCAGTCTCATGAGAGCTGATGGTTTTATAAAGGGGAGTTCCCTGCCTAAGCTGCCTTGCCTGCTGCCATGTAAGATGTGCCTTTGCTTCTCCTTTGCCTTATGCCATGATTATGAGACCTCCTCAGCCATGCTGAACTGTGAGTCCATTAAATGTCTTTCCATTATAAATTACCCAGTCTTGGTTATGTCTTTGTTAGCAGCATGGGAACAGACTAATACACTTGCCTTTCAGATTTTGCAGGCAGGAGTCAGGTGTGTGCACAAGAACCACACATTAGGCCTTAGGCTCTCTGAGGAGTTCTTTTGACATCTTTTCCTTTAGAAGTGAGGTGAGGGCAGAACCCCACCTTTAGACATGACTTGGTGGGAGGAAGCTCAGAATATAAACTCTCACCACAGGCCCTTTCCATAATCAAACAATCTCTACCACCCACCCCACCCCCCCGCCACCCAAAACGAGAACAACAAAAAACCCAACTAAAAATCTCTTAGTTATCTCTTAATGTCTAAACCTTATACCCTGGACATGAGTGAGAGGATTAAGAATTGAACCTCCTTTGAAATTGTGCCACCATGGCCAAATGATATCTATGCTTCATGACTTTAGCCTAAAGTCCATTTTAACATTTTGTACACACACACACACACACACACACACACACCCACACCACAGATAAACATAAGAGTTTGCATTCATCTATAAATCTCATCAGTCCCTGGAACTCCCAATAACAAGGAGAAAGTAAGTTGGGGGATTGTACCTCACATTTCCTTCTATATCTTCTTTTTCTCTTAATTCTCTTCTGGATGTTCATTGTGACCTCATCTTACCAGCAGGGGTGTGTGTGTGCGTGCATGTGCTCAGAGGTGGTGTGGAGAGGGGGCAGAGTATGATTCTCCCGGAGGGTGGTTTAGTCTGAGCCCTAACAGTCCTCTGGGTTCAGTGCTGGGTCTCATATCCTATGGGTCTCACATCCGATGGGCTGTCTGGATGCTTTTTAAGTGGAGCAGTAGGAAGGATGAATGCTACTGCTGGCATCACTGTTTGCTACAACAGCATTTAAAAGAAGGCCTGAGTCAATTAGGACATCAAATAATCCTATTGCTTTTATAATACCTAAATATTGAATATTTAAAAGGTAAGCAGGCTTGAAATTTGAAATGGAAAGAAAATGTCCCTTTAAGTCGTTAAGGAGTGTTAGGAGCCATAAGCCTCTGAAAAAAAGTTAGAAGTTCGAAGAATTCATAAGTCAGAGAACTTGGGTTACATTTATAAATATGTAGACCTTACAGTAATAAAATCAGAGCAAACTCAGAGGTCCACTTAGGAAGGTGACCAGAGAATAAGTCAAGTAACTGCACTCATAGCCAATTTGGAATTCTGTCTCTAGGAAAATGGTTACTATAAGATATTCACAGATAAGTCAGAGAAGGAAAGAAGTCACAAAAGAGATGTGAGGTGGTTAAGAAAGCAGATTTTAGAATGACAGTGGAGAAGTGAATTCTGGCTAAATAATTTGTGACCTGGGTGGCCTTAGGATGCATGTAGAGGATTTTTGGCCTCAATTTTCTCACCTGTAAATTGGTACCTATCTTACAAGGTGGTCATGAGAATGCTAGCAGTGTTTTTGGTACATAGTAAGTGCTCAATAAATATTAGCTATTACTAAATCTTGATTTTCCCCCTAGAAACACCATGTATCTCATACAAAGATGAACCTTTCAAATAAAGAGAGGTTGTAAGACAAAACACTGAATTCAAGTGATTACCAGTAAGAAAGTAGTTTAGATTTTATACTGATATTAATTTGATTACATAATCACAAAGATAAATAGTTGACTCTGTTTTAGTCATAAAAGAGAAAAAGTGCACCAAAAAAGTGTTTAATTTGACAGTTATTTTGCTGTGGTTTGTGTGAGTGTGTGTGTGTGTGTTTAGTCTACTTCCAGACGAGAGAAAAACAATTCCATAAAGGTTATTTCACTATCTGAGCATGTTCTTTCATATTGGTTTATAGGTACACCTATTATAGACTCACTCTTTAGTTATGGGGATGTGATCCTTGTTATTTAGAACAGACCACATGCAGGAACCAACAAACCCTAAAGGCCACTGGATTCTATTAACAGAGATTTACTTCTCACCCATGCCACAGCCTTCTGGAGAGCAGGCAGTTCCTCTGAAGGGCTCTCCTCCAGTGTTGATATGGAGACCTAGACCCATTTTATACTGTGGCTCTCCTGTTTCCTAGAGCCTCTTTGGTGTTCTTCCATGAATCTTTAGCTTTCTCCGGCTGATGAGTAAAGGTATAGAATGAAAATGATTGTGTGGGATGTTTTATATGCAGCTTGGAGGTGGCAGTCATCATTCCTTCCCATATTTCTTTGGCCAGAACCTGATCACATGGCCCTCAAAAAGCTGCAAGGAAAGATAGGAAGCGTAGGTTTTTTGCCTCCCCAGGGTGGGAAAGAGAGGCTGGAGAGCATTTAATTAGTCTGCCGCTTGACTGTTGTTGATGCTGAATTGAAGAAGAGTTTTTGTATTGAGTAAGGCTTTACAGAATGGTTGCAGCAGGCTGTGTTGGCAGACCTTGGCTCTTAGATTAAGGCAAAAACTTTAAACTTCAAAATGTGAATCTGTGCATTAATCTGCAAAGTAGGGAGAACCTATTTGAGTAGAACGGCACCTGATCTAGTGGGAAGGTAGAACACGTTTTTGTTTCCTTAGGTCAAGTTGCTGAGGAAATGGCAGTAATGTTATGCTTACTTGATATCCCCATAACATCAGGGCTCTTCCTGATACATCCCAGAGAACACTGAAGCCCCTTTCACTCGTTGAAGCCCCTTTCACTCGTTGTTCTAATTTAACTTGAGTTATCCTGATATAATTTCCCTTAACATGCTTCCATTTTCCCATCTAAGTCTGGAAAATCAAAATGGCCTTTGCCCTACCATGATGCATGGATTCAGACATTAGTTACTGAAGTTCTCTTATGACACTACAATAAGAATCATTTTGGCTATATTTATAGATAGTAAGATGGCTTTACAACAAGGTAGAAACTTTCAGCTCATGAAAAATTCGTTCAATAAGAGCAATTTGTAGAAGCACAACACAATGTTCTCAAGTAAACGTTATCCTACATGCCTGCCAGCTCCTCATTTGAGTAATCAGCCCCATGAGAGAATGGGCAAATATGGTAAACCGTGCATCAACTTTGAGAGGAAGAACTCAAGTCTGCCCTCACAGAGTTTTTGAATGCCAAATGGGCTGTGTGATGCATGGCTTGGTACTATTTTGGTCAAGGCTGGATTGTCTGTGACCCTCAACATCTCTGTTCCTTTGTCTCCCAATTTCCGGCGTTGATAAGCTGGATCAGATGATCACTGTCATTCATTTCAGCTTTCAGAGTCTGTCCTTTGCTCTTTCTGCCACCCAGCACACTTAAGGAATGTCTCTGCCCATTTCTTCTTCTTCCCCACCCCGTTCTCTGCTGTGGGCCCAAGAAAAGGGAAAAGCAATTTAATTTTAATATGATCTGAAGTCAGACGTAATTAGAAAGACAAATCTGCTGGAAAAAAAATCTGCATTCCAAAGCTAAATACTATAGTGTTGGCAGTCAGTCGAGCACCAACCTAGCACATTAACTGTGCTCCATGAGGCTTTCACTGAAGGTAATACTATGTTTTAAGAGGGTATAATGCTACTCCTGGTATTTCCAAATTCTTAAGAGTAACAAACTATGAAAAAATAGGATTTATTTGTATGTACAAGTTTTATAGATATCTTTTGATTTTGCAAGGTAGAGTATCAGACTGGGGCAATGTTATCAAAGGACCGCTTAGGATGTTGTTAAAAATACAGATTTCTGGGCCCCACTCAGAAATCAATCAATCTGACTATGATTGGTTAATTTCTATGGTCAATTTTCCAGGATAGAATTAAATACTCTGAATATTGGACCAACTACCCAGTTTGAGAGCTCACTAAAAGTGTGGCAACCATTAAAGAAGTTGGACAAATCACAGAATTTTCCCTGCCTGTACAAGGAGACGATCAACCTTTACTCTGCCACACAGAACTGTTGCACAGGTTAAAAGTAAAGCATGTGCTCCAAAGCCCTTTGCCGGATGAAAATTCCTCTGCCAACATCAGCTTATGTTGTTATTGTCAGGGGCAACTAAAACATAGACTGACAACCATCTTCTGCTTTTACATCTTCTTGAAAATGTCTCAGGTCTCTTTCCTCTTGGGAGCTTAGGCATGGAGTATCAGAGTGTGATGTGTTTATTCTGCACCCCCTACTTTAATGGAGCTTATGTCAACTGCAGCAGCTCCAAAGTGCTTGTGGAGTTAACCATAGCAAGGTTTCATTTGTGCACTTACAGATTTTAAAGGCGACAAGCTGAGTGTTCTCTTCTGTTCATCAGGGACACAAACAAAGCTATTAGCTCTAGGTCCAGGGAAAGGGAAAAAAAAATCACTTTTCATATTGTGCAACCAACCCTAAACCAGGTCAATCTCTCCTTCATTGCTGGCTAATATCCAAGTCACAGTGAAAAGCTGATGTTTTTGTTTAGAATGGATTTTTGCAGTGTTTATAAACCAAGTCTCCTTGAAATTTTCATTAGGAGGATCACACAGTTCACCTCTTGTCCTGCCCTTTATCCTTTCTGCTGGAATAGTTGAGTGATTTTGAAAATTCTCACTAGTTTAATTGATTAGTAAGGAGAGTTATTTTTGAAAGTCACCTTCTGCAAAGCAGAACTGAGATTGACACCCAGTCAAGATGCTGTGACCTTTGTTTATGTAGCACAGAGAATGATGAGAATGTGACCTTCATTACAGCTTTGAATGTGTGAGGAAGGGGAGGGAAGGATCATTTATCAACTCAGTGCCAACACTTTACTAGGCACCAAAGGCCTGTTATGCCATTGAATCCTAATAATTTATAATCCTGTGACATGGGTATTATGATTACTATATTTATAGGCAAGGAAACTGAAGCTCAAGTGGTTACTTCATTAGTGGGTGGTGGAGCCAGGTTACTCCCAAATGTAACCACTTAAGACAATAACCATCTATTATTGCTCACAGTCTGTAGCCAGCATCAGTTGACTGGTTGGCTGGGATGTTCTGTTGATCTGGGTGAGGCTTGGCTAATTTTGGTTGGGCTTGCTCAGGCACTTGCAGCGCATTGGCTGGTTGGCTGGTGTGTGTGTGTGTGTGTGTGTGTGTGTGTGTGTGTGTGTATGTGTGTGTATGTATGTGTGACTTTGTTAGGATGGCCTTACTCATGTGTTTGGCAGTTGGCTGACTGTTGGCTACAGTGATGGGGCTATGAAAGATGGCCACTACAATATATATCTCTTTTTACAATGTGACACTGATAGTTTCTTTGTCTCTGTGTTCCTCTCCTTTGAATCTGGGCAGAACTTTGTGACCGCCTTGACCAACAGAATGTGGTGGGTTTAATGGCAGGCCAACTTCCAGGCTTCCGCCTTGAGAAACTGGCAGTTTCCACTTCCTTCCTTGTGCAACGTTGCTCTTGGAACTCTCCTACAATGCTGTGTGGCAGTGGAGCAGCCACATGAAGAGGTCAGGTATGCATGTCTCACCACCAGTCCCTGCTGAGGTCCTGGTGGGCAGCAGCATCAACCAACAGACATGTAAGTGAATGAGTGAGTGAGCGAGCCTGCAGATGACTCCAGCTCCAAGAGGCTGAATGACTCCCAGACACTGAGTCACCCCCAGCCTTTGAGGTTTCCCAGTGGATGCCACATGGAGCAGAGGTGAGCTGTCCGTGCCAGACCCTGCCCAAAGTGCTGATTTGTAGGCTGAATAAATAATTGTTGTCTTGAGTTGCTGCATTTGAGGTGGATGGTTATGCAACAATAGAGAACTGAAATAGAGGATAGTTTGTCCATGTGTCTCATATCATTCAGCCTGCTAGACCAGGTTTGTTTGCATGGTAGCTAGCAGGTTCTGAGCGGCAGAGGGAGAGAGGGAGATGGGGAAAGAGGGAGGGAGGGAGAGAGAGAGAGAGAGAGAGAGAAAGAGAGAGTGAAAACACAAAAGGTCTCTTGAGGCCTAGGCTCAAAACTAGCACACTGTTACTTCTATTGCATTCTGTTGTGCAAAGCAAATAACACGACCAACCCAGATTCAAGAGGAGTGGAGTAGACTCTGCCTTTTGATGGGAGGAGTTGAAAGTCACATCAAAAAGTGCTCATATAAAGCCAGGAATGAAGCCTTGTGGTCATTTTTGCAACCTACTACATTATGCCACCTCCTAAGGCTTATGGATAACTCAGGTAAGAAAAGAGAAGTGACACTTCTAAAACCCAAAAAACCTTAATGATTGTGCTTCATTTAACAACATATGGTCTAACTTCTGACAAGCTTGACCATATATAGAATGCTAGTTGCGTGAAAAGGTTTTTGAATCCAAGCAAATAACTATCACGAAGCCCATGTACTTTACTCATAGCAGAGGCGTGCTCGCTCCCCACAGGCCTCAGTCAGGTGGTAAGGAATAGAGCTTGGAAGGACGTGAGCAGTGTTGTTCTTCATGCTGCAGAACATGCAGGGCCCGTGTCAAAGCTTGACTCACATTAATTCATTAATTAACTTGAGAAATCTGCATTCAGTGTGCCTGGCAAGAGGTGGAAGTGATGATCTCAGGATGATTGTCAAGGCCCTTGCTGGGTCTAAGCTCAAGAACATCCACCTCTGAAGATGGGTTATGCTGGGTAGCAGAAGAAGCCAACTTCACTATGGGGCAAACAACAGATTTGGGTCAGCTTTGGAGTGAGTTTGGTGACTCCTGGCAGTAGTCTGACTTTTGGGAAAGCTGCTGTCAGTTACCAACTTGCTGGGCTGGGGAACGCAGGAGTGTCCACTGGACTGGAATGTATTGAGGACTAAACCTCGCTGAATTTCTTCAGACAAACTCACCAGACTGACTGAGCCAGGTTCCCTTTAGTTCAGCATCACTCAAATCAACAAATAGTGATTGAGTAACTCCTAGGCTCCTGTCACTGTTGTGAGTGCTGGACACACGAAGCTAAAATAAAGGTAGGTCTTTCTTCAGGGGTATTACAGTCTTGAAATAAGTCAATAGATCAATTCTTGCCATTGAGTGGGCTAAATACTATCATCATGTGAAAGAAGGTGTGCTCAGGAAGCACTGAAGAGGGACACAAAATGTAACCTTTGGGGTTGGGGAAATCTGGAAATCTTCAGGATAAGAAGGAATTACCTAAGAGAAGCTGGGAAAGGCATTACATGAAGAGGGAACAGCATTTACAAAGGCCTGGAAGTATTCCGACAGAGTAAAGGGCCAGACTGTGTGACAGAAAGGCAAGAAATGAGCTCGCAGAGGAAGAAAGGGGCCGAGGGAAGTGGCTTAGAAATCAGCAGTATGGAGAATTAATTCAAGCGGGAAGACAGGCAGGAGGACTATAGGAGATGATTGCAGTAATCAGGCCAGCAGTGATGAGGGCCTTGACCCCAATAGTAGTCATAGGACTGGAAAGAGGATGTTTTAAGAATGTTCTGTCTACTGGACTTGAATGAACTGGTTGGAGCAGTGGGGGAGTCCAGGGTGATGCCAAGATTTTAAGCAGTGGGTGGCTGGTGGAGCCATTGTCTGATAGAAGGAATATAGGAGGATGAGGAGGTCGGGGTGGGGACAATGGTGAGTTTGGCTTAGGACATGCTATGTTGGAAGGATCCGTGAGACATCTAGCCTAACAGAATGTACCTTGAAGACTTTAAGAGTGTGTCCTGGTTGTTCCTGTTTCTATTTTCTCCCTCTTTGCCTGCTTCCATCCCTGCCTCCCCTGTCTCCTACAAAATCCAAACTAAAATAGTCAAAACCACATCTACAACACTCTATGTCCATATGAAGCATTGACATGTTCCCACCATCTCCTAGGTCACGCTCTGTCCTCCCTTCAAAGATCTGCATTTGTCCAGTGTAGTACCTTACACACTCCATATAAATGTCGTCAGACATTAGGGTGAGCCCTCTACAAGCTCACTGTAACTTACATCCTGGAGAGCAGAGACATGCATTGGTTTATGCCTATGTAAACTGCCCTGTATCTGCCCTCAAACCTAAAAGCTATTATATTGTTCTCCAGTTGCAATGAAGGAAAGTTACTTCCTATGGGTTTACAAAGTTTTACAATTTGCAAATTATAATTCTAATGCGAATCTCACACAGTCCTCTCAGGCCTGTGGGAAAGATATTATGGATTCCATTTTATTGATAAATAAATTAAGGCTTGGAAAGTTTGTGGCTTCGTGGTAGATCTGGAACATGAAACCCAGATCTCCTTCTCTAAGTCCAATGTTCTCTCTGTTCCAGCACCTTTTCCCTCCTTGGGCAAGAACAACCAAGGACTGGGTAAGCTCTACAGGGCCTGGGAATTAAATCCTCTAGGCAAACCTGACCTTCTCTGGTTCAGGTGACATCAGCTCCCTTTCAAAAGTGAGCCTTCTCCATTTGCATCCTGGTTGTTTCACTGGTCAGAGGCTCCAAGTGGCTATTGCATTTGTCTGCTGTGCCTTTTATTGAGGTTTTCTGGTTAGGGTGAAATTGCTACTGTTCTTTCAAAAGCAATATTTTTTTTGTATATATGCTAGCTTTATGCTTTTGTGCATAGGCATTTTTCCTTGTCACATCATATTTCTTTCCAGTTCAGTAACTAGTGAAACTCAAGTGCACCACTGATCTGTAGGCTGAATTTCAGGCCTGAAACTCACAAAGTAGGTGTACACTTTGGCAGCCCTTCACTTACAGCCCAGGTCAACAGGGCCAGGGATCAGCAGAAGGAAGGACAGAATCACTTTCTCATTTACTTACTTGATGGGCCTTGGTAGGTCGACTACCTGGCAGGTAGTGGGCACTCACACCAACATCGTTTTGGAGAGTGTATGTCTTAAAAGGATATGTTATAAACATTTGCAGACAACCTCAATGTCCTCAACATCATGAGAATGGTATTACCCAATAACCAGTTTCTTATAGAAGCAAGATTATACTGTTTCCTCCCTTTAACAGCTCCCTTGGGGCTAATGAAAAAAAATAATTATAAAGGATTTTAGTAAGTGTAAAATAAAGGATGCACAATATAAAAAAAGAAAAAAATATGTATTGGTAAGGAGTTTAGAAAAATGGTTCCCAAAACGTATTCTTTGATTAATTGATGGGTCATATTAAAGTCATTTGAAAGATCTAGCATCAAGTTCCAGCATGACTGAATTGGCATATTCTCATGAGAATAAGTGGCATTCTTTCTATTCATTCTGGGGAGAGATCCTTTACTTTTTAGGACATTGCAAGTGATAGACTTCCTGGGCGATGTTTCCCAGCCCAGTGGTTCAATGCCCTGTTCAATGCCCTGGATGTTGAGTACCACCAGGCAGCTAGTGGCTGCATATGAGGGGCAGGCTGCTGAGCCAGGAATCAGAGAATCAAGATCTCATCTCAGTCTTCCTTCAACTATGGGCTTGCTTTGTGATCTCATCAGTCCACTCTTCCAAGCAGAGATGTCATCAGGATACCTGAGAACAGCCTAGGGAAGGAAGGACGTGTACCAGAGCTTTGGCCTTGACAACTGCTGTCCATGAAGAGCCCCAGGGATAGAGGCACCTAGAACAAGCCTGTTGCATTCCTGGCTACCTCTTCCTGAAGCCCTTTTGGGTTGATGTGGAGGTGGGAAGCGGCAGAACACGGGCCTGTGGTACCTCACAGCCCATAACCCTCAGGTGTCCCTGCTCTGGCCCTTTGAAATTCCAAGCCATATACTTTCCAGGAGAGTGGTTGGTATTTCTACACTGCATGCTACATTTTAGCTTGGTCTAAATCTGTTAGGAAAACTTCTGTTTGTTGGGAAGCAGTGTGACTTTATGAAAAGAGCCCAAACTCTGGCAGAAGTCCCTAGGTTCAGACCCCATTGCTGGCTGAATGACACTGAACAAGCCAGTTTTGCTTTCCAGATGTAGTTTCTACACCTATAAGACAGGAGTTAAATGGTTATGTATGTAAAATTCCTACCTTAATGTTTGACTGCAATCAGAACTCAAATGTAGTCATTATTATACTGATTGTCATTGTCACCCAGGCAATGGGGTTGGACTAAGGTGAGATTGAGGCAAAACATCTGCTCGGCTACCCTCAGGTTCTATGATGGAACTTGCTGTCTGACTTTCCCTAATGCTCTCCCTTGCCCACAGCTCCATCCCTACTGCGCACTCTCACTGGTGAACTCCACTTGACAGTTCCTTGAGGGTGCTGCCTATTCTTGTCACCTTGTTAAATACAGTCACCCGGCTCTCTGAATGCAATACAACATGCCTGGCTAGCCTGCCTGAGACACTCCTAAATGGAGATGTGGCCACCCATCCCATCCATCTCCCTCCCCAGGCTCCATATAAAAACAATAAAGAGAGTGGGATAGTTGGTGCCCAGACAAAAGCCTTTTTATTTTGCCAGGCTGCAAATGGTTTTAATAATAATAATGGTAGAAAACTTGGTGGCGAAAACCTATGAGAATATCTGCTATCTGTTTAGGTGCTCTCTCATATCATTTAATTAACCCTTATGGTATTACTTTCACCTCCAAGGCCTTGCTTGTTCACAAAACCTTGACCAAACACAGGGACCTGATCATCCTGCCTTTCTTCATTCACCATGCATTCTGAAGGAGTCCCGAGGCCTGATGTTTCAGTCATTTATTCATTTGGAGCTAGCCAAGGAGCCACAAAAAACAGTCTCATTACCTAATAATCACAGCTAGTTACCTTTTTACATCAATCAACACCCCACAGCCTATTGGACTCTGTGAGTATTCCATAAATAATAAAACGTATTATCTTATGAGGGAGCCCTCAAAAGCTTCCTAGTGATTCTCAGGCCCCTGAGTTTCTCTATGACCTTCAGCAGCATAGTCAGTCTTAGCAGCAGGGGCCTGCAGAGAGGGTCTCCTAAGAGAAAGAGGTTCCCTTGGGCAAAAATCTCAAAACGTTCCTGGGCCTGGTCTTCCAGAGATTGGCCTCGTTCCTTAAAGCACAAGCAGGAAGAGAGCTTCTGACTCGGTTATGCTCATGTAGTAATACTCATGAGAGTGGTTAAAAGACTAAGGTGTGTTTATGTGGGTGTGTGTTGGGGAAGGGGAATGGCGAATTGTGTTGCAGGTAGATGATCCATCATTCAAGTTTACCAGTCCCAAGCGAACCAGGGTGCTTGGTCACCTTAGCTTTAGAAGGGGCCTCACACTTACTCAGTTATTCTGGGAAGCAACTC